GATTCTATGTTGACGTTTGTTTGATTTCTGAGTTTATTAGTACTGTATAATGATGGTAAAATTCTCAAGGTTCATAAACCAAAGTCGAACACTTGAAAATCATTCCACTTCAAAGAGCAATGACCCAGTATGTTACTTTGTGTTTGGTGAGATCAAGCCCCATTTAACCCTAGTTTCGTACCAATTTGAACTGATCAGCAGAAGCACAGCTATTATCTTAAGTGAACTGAAGCACCGTCGTGTGTTTAAGCGGACAACTCCATTTTGCAGTGACTACAAAATACAAGTCTATCAACCAGAAAAATACGGAAGTATCGCAAGTTCCATAAACGAGTTTAACTATGATTATGAATCGTTTAAAATACCCGATTCCTGGTCTTATAGTTTAAAAAATATGTCCCGTGTCGAATGTTACAAAATCCGGATGATGCAGCTAAAGTTACTCTATTTCTACAAAGAATTGGAACACATGAATATAATAAATACGGAAATTTCATGGTACCACAAAATCTACGGAACCTATCTTGAATTATCAAGTTCAAATACTATCGAAAACTTTCAGAGCACAGTCCTCTACATTCAATATTCGTTATCACCGTTTTTAAATATGAAAACCTGTATCCGGTGACTATGTCACATATGCTGGGAAAATAAATCGACAATCCAAACGATTAAAAATTGATATTACGGCAGATTGATCTAAATGTTTGGTTTGAGGATCAAAGAATCTAGATGTTGAGAACCACACCAGAATTCTGGTGCTCACTGAACAGGAGCCCAACATGATCTTAACGATGATCATAACAGACTGTCAACATCTGTTGAATCTTAAACATGACATGATGATGTTGTAATAGAAGAGGGAACCAGATTTTTGGTCAATAAATGACCATAGCATCCAAAAAGACAGCAGCAAGTACATAACAACCTGTTGGCAAGCCACTATCACCACGTTGATTTCTGGAACACGTTTACTTAATGAAACTATGTCTATTGATGAACCACAAAAACATATTGACCACAAAGTCCATTGCCCCGGCGAAGAAATACTACGCTAGTCAAGATTCTGCAGAAAAAATTCGAGACTACGTTCACTGAGCCAAATCAAGAGCATGTTTGCAACTTTAAGATTAGTTTTCAAGATAAAAGGCTGTTGACACAATAGTGAGTGGTCAACCTGTTTCTCTTCAGTTAGATACAACCTCCAATACTACACTGAGTACCAACATGTGGCGCCACTTAGAATGTTCATGCACTAAAACATCCGAACACACATTGCTGCAAATGCTAGTGGGAACATAATGAAGTGGTTGGGAAAGTAAAAAGCTAGGTGAAATTCAGAAAACACTAATTTAGTGGCGCTTATTATCTCTCTAACCAACATAATTTAGATTTATTAAGATTGGACTGGATTGAGAAGACTGACACATTGAACACATTAAATAAAATATGCATACTCATAGCCATTCTTTTGTTCAGAACATCCAAACAAATGTAGCACGACGCACTTCAGGTAATTTGCGTATGCATATAATTGTATAAACGAGCCCAAAAAATTGATTTAGGTAGAGTTGTATTAAATCTCGTAAGTACACATTTCAAAAAGTGAACGGGGTTGAAAAGAAAGTTCCACTCAGAGGTCATCGTATTGATGGTAAGTTTAAAAGGAACTTTGGATTTCAATATATAGCCGCTAATCTAATAGTTTAATCTGAAAATAGGAATGTGCTTGCCCGTTATTAACACTTGCCTCTAAGATATCAGAGCTGACAACCTACAATAACTGAAAATACAAATAACTAAGCGAATAATTTTTTCCTGACAATACCATCCTACTAGTTTTTACTAAATACGTGGCTTCCAAAAACTGTAGTTCAGTTCTCTTCTATTGTAAAAGTGATTGTTTGAAGATGAGCTTTGCCAAACTTGTACATTAAGTTTAATACTCCATCTGTTTAATTACTACTAATGGGAATACAAAATAGTCTGTACGATTAAGGACGAACCACAAACTTTGATCTTACGGAAGATGCATGATCACTTGCAGTGCATGTGGACTTATTCATGCAGATGAATAAACTTTTTCAGATTGGACGAATAACATAAAAACCAACAGCATACGGATCCGCTTCCTTCTCGTACGATGAATTTCTCTACTATTACATCGAATGAGTTTAAGATTGAGAGTGGATTACACTGTAAGAATTTAAAATTATCGTTAAGGTTCCAATGATACTTTCAATATGATTGTAAATGACACTATTATGAGCAAATGTACGGTTAATGATTAAGGTTTTTAAAGCAACAGTAAGTCAGACTCTTTGTCAGTTACTAAACACTGAACCGAGATTTTTAGTCTGCCTAACTCGATTCAATCATAAGTTGCTAATTCGATAACGAAGCATGGTCTGTTTTCTAACACACCGAAATAAGATGTGTATGAGTGTAACGTTGTATTAATGTATGTATGAAAACACTTCCAAATTCATCATACTATTTAAATACTAGAAAAAGTGACTACTCAAAATTCGCAGGTTTGGACCTTTATATAAGCAGTAAACCCATTAGTAAAATATGTACAATTGAATTGTTTTTTTCGGCATGTTCATATCTAGTGTCTGATTTTGTAGTAGCACAAGCACTAGAAAATTGTTCAGTTTGAATTAGGAATGTGATCAATCGATAATTTAGACCACTGGCTTGTCATAAACCTAAAATATTCGATACTAGGACAATGTAAATGATAGAAATGCCAAGAAATCCCAGCAAGTCGATAGCTCATAAAGTACAGTCCGAAACACATACCTTGCTTTTAAACTATGATGTTTTGAGATCAGATTTTCCTAAACTCATGAGCCGCTCCACCACAGAAACTAGGAGGCGGTGATTTGATTCATAAATTGCGAACTCAAAGGACTGAAACTGATAATGACTGCAAAAAGTCAACGAGATGTAACGTATTCGTTTGTGAAGCTTACTACTGTTGTCATAATCAAAGTCCATACCATTCTAAACTTAAACATCAGAATAAAATTTCTGAAAATTAATTACAGGTCAAACTCTAAATTTGAAGAGCAAGCGATATTCCTCCGAGACCACTAATTTGACCTGTGAACTCGTAATTCATCGAAATTCGTGAAATCCATGACACGACATACGAAAATGAAGACTAGCAAGTCATAACATAACATAATACTCTTTATTTGGTGCATTTCTTAATAATTTTATTATGTCTTTATAAGAAAACGGGGTACCACGAAGTTGGAATATGGTGCGTGCAACCTGTCAGACAGTTCCTACATGCATACGAGCCTTGATCCTTTTATGTGTGACTAACCTAAACATCTCATTTAATAAACAGACGTGATACATATGATGGTTTTGTGAAGATACAGTAAAAATTGTTGCAGATAAAAGTGAGCGCACTCCTAAGTGTAATCAATGATATACATCAGACATTTCACAAAAGATAAACCACGTAAACTAAGTGAAAAGCCCAGGTGTCTATGATGGTTTCTGTCTTACACCAATGTATAGGGAATAACAGATTTATATAAATTCATACGGACATCACACAATTAAACGTGATTTACACAAACTGATCCAATAGCTGGCAAAAGTTGAAAACTATACTTGCAGAATAGATTATCAATATCATTTTTTACGAGCGCAATTCTTCATAAGAGAATATAAAAGACTATGGAAGTAGTGTATCACGAATTTACGGAAGCACAATAGGTGAGTGTATACAAATAAAAATAACCAGTGGACAGTCAATAACATCATAAGCATCATAATTCTATCAGTGCATCAATCACAAAATATAGAAAAAAGTACTTCCGTATGTCCAATCTGTATACATTCAAGATATTTGTGATTTTAGATCAGTCATTCAAAAATGGAGTCAGTCCGAATCGTACCGGGAATTTAAGCATAAATAAATGTATAAAAATGTATAAAAACAGATGTTAACGCTTTCATCACTATATCCACAAAAATTCGGCCAAGATTATATGTTGCCTATAGTAACAACTTAAGAAATATACAAATCAAATATGCAAGTTAACAATCGTCAGCTTTTTGAAGTTAGAAATTAGATGAAAAATGTTTGTTAATTTCAAAAAATATAAAGGAAACAATGTACAAGAGTTGGGAATACAAGGAAAAGAGGATTTCTAAAAGTAATCATTGCATTAAAAAATAACAGCAACAAATGTGTTGTAGTGTCTTTATGTACACAAATACTAAATATACACATTCTTGAAGTTGTTCCTAAACAATACTTGGGTAAAACAGAGACCACACTAAAGTTAACTGATCGATAAGGGAGATTTCAAACACAATAAAGTGAATTTATAAACAACTGAATTTCAGATAGTACATACGCATGTGTGAATACGTACGTATTAGTCGCATTAACTTTTAAACAAAACAAGTAAAAATGAAGGGAAATAAACGCATCAAGGATGATATTGAGCAACGAGATAAGTCATACTTACTTAGCAGACTAGGCACAATGTAACGATATGAACTGATCCGATTCGTAGGTTATTACTGCTACCACTTACAAAATATGCAGTTATTCACAGAAGCCCAGCATATATATGTCTTGAATAAATCACTGAATACAAATTAATGACAGTAGTCTTTCTAAATAACTTGAATAAACAGACTTTGCACTGAGTTATTCTGGTTTTTTACTTTCAATAGTTATGTTATGGCTTATTGAGGATGGGAAAACCGGGTAGCACCTGATCCAGCAACCATGCCTTGACCGGGTTGAGGATGTGCTACAGAGAAATCTAGGCCAGCGGACATCGTTGTATGGTGTGGATCTAGCTGGGAAGTAAGTAAGTTTGTGTAATTTAGATGTGTGTGCGATTGGGTTTGGTGGGGGTTCGCACCAATTGTTCCAGTCGTGCCACTACCAATCATACGTGTGGCAGCTCCTGGTGCTGCAGCAGGAGTACGGATACTTTGATTTACTTTGTTGGGACTAATTACTCCACAAACTGATTAGCAGCTAGATTGGTATATGCCCCTAAAAAGAAAGCGAACAACACAATGTGACATCTAGCACAAGGGTAGCTAAGAATTTCTTAGTTATAGTTAAGAAAAATTGGTTTAACATCTAAACATTACACGAAACAATGCTGTGTCGAGTACAAACGAAAATACAGGTTTGATGGTTTAAACACTTTTGTAAGCACAGCACTACGATTTGGACAGTAGGTTGCATAAAATGTACTAGTAATGACAAGTAACATGATATGAAACTCCACACCACTTAGTAATAAAATGATCATAAAAATGATCTTAATCCGCATAAGCGTCTTTTACTCACATACTATCTAGCCCTAGATGCTTCATTTTTAGCTTGCATTTCTACACCACAGGGAAGAAATGAGATCTCATGAATTTTTGAATGATAAGCAGATATGCCATAGTTATAAAGTACTTTTAGATCCAATCGGCCGAAATTTTTCCAAAGGAATATTTTGATATGCTCCCTAAAAGTGGTAATCTCGAAAGATATGGAAATACAATATACGTTACACCAATTATACAAAATACATGTACTAGAAAGCAGGACAGTATAAAATCTGTCACAAAAATACCAGTTCAAAATGTAATACTACGTAGCACAACGAGAGACATTTTGCAATAAAAGACATCAGCGTGTAAAGACGTGAACTAGATACAAAAATTGACATCTCAAAACCCTTCAGAATTCTTACAAAATTATCTAAAGTAAAGGTGAACAGGTGCAACTAACTGAAATGTGATTAAGTATCAGTCTCGTCACAACAACCATAAGGATTCCTTGGAAAAATACTTTGGTCTCTTTCGTAAATACAACCGTGATGGCATACCACTTATTAAAACATACAGAATGTATACCACTATAATCGAGATGATGTTATCAATATTATTTTATTTATTGGTACAAGGGGGCACGAAACACATATGCGCCACACAACAAATACAGATTTGTAAAATCTGGAAAAACTTATCTCACTACTTAATGCGACAACGTTTAACGCCACCAAGAGCATGAGCATGATTTCCTTAAAGTGGGTTTAGATGAATCACGTTGAAAGTAAGTCTGTACCGAAATAAATTTAGACCACTAGTTTGCTAAACCACGAAAACGACACCCACAAAATGTCAACAGGACATTATCATCCACCCCAGTATAGATCAAAAGGAATGCAGCAATATTTCGACAAAGTCAAAATAGGATGTCATCTCTGAAATAGCTAGCGACGCTTTTGGGTGATGTGGATCTCGAGGTTGTAAACACTTAGCATAAACGGATATGAGGAATAACGGTACAGGTAGTTTAGGGAACAATTTACAAACAATTCACTATGCCGTCTTAACGTTATGATGAGCACGTTTGTTACCCTTCTCTGACCTTTCTATGCTGTCCAACAGCACAAATTAATGCATTTCAACCCTCCAAGTGAGATTTAATTTAAAGCCATGATCTAGATAACTTTCGAAATGCTCATGACTTTTGGTGTTTACCGGAAACCAGATGATAAGAGCTGATCCCTCGACATGTGTATTGAATGCAAGAACTGTAACCGATGTTGACGCCTTAATTAGTCAGTTGATCACACACAAAGTAGGACCTAAGACATATGTACACCGGTTCAAATTGCCACACACTACTAGCATAGAGAGATGAAGTTGTCAAGGGAGGTGGTGAATTTTACTGGTAATAGTAAAGTTGAGAATAGACAGGATTTAAGAATGTATAGACTAGTGGAACGAAAAATATTTATAAGTTTGGAGACTTAAGGTTTAACGGAAGACAAAAGTATACTTGCGCCAACGCAAATGACAGCGAGCCATGTCGTCTAAAGTTTTTAACTACAGGTTACAATAGTCACGCAAACCACCAGATAATCCCCACCTTACTACATGGACCAGCACAAGCCAGTACCTTCATGAACTGACGCACGTCATGGTCTGATCGCCCCTAGATTTCCTTTGACATCCTTTAACTACGTATCGAAACATCAAAACTACTCCACTTGGTATTATAGTCTTACGAGGATTAAAGATTATCACGTACATGTACTCATGAATAAACTCTGCTCCAGTAGTCTAAACGTAACCATGATCCTATCACATGTGAGACCCTCAGAACTAAAGAACTATTTATTCATACACTGGTACATATAAGGAGTTTACACACCGAAACCTACCATCCAAATTTATTTCTATGTAAGCATCAAGACTATGGAACGATTAAAATGTAAACTAATGAGAAAACTTTGGGATTAGATGCACTTACCATAACCCGTTGCAGCAGCAGCTGCTGCTGCGCTTCCGTAGTAATCATATCCATAATAGCCGTACGTAAAAGGGTCAAAGCCAGGGTAAGCGTTTGCGTAGTCACCATAGGCATATCCTGGATAAGAGAAGCTGGGGTCCAACCAGTTATACCATTGTTTCAGAGCTACTAAAACGAAATAACTAGAATTCTGGACAAACCTTTTTGTCTGTTAGCTTGATCTCGTGTAACAGCAACCCTAACATCACACTAAAGAAAGAATTCATCGTTTAGTTTTGATAGACGGAATTTTATGTTACCAATTAACTAATAAACGACATACCTGTCGACCGAAAATATCTTGACGCTCCTTTGAAATAGCTTTTTTGGCAGCTGCTTCAGTGGAAAAACTAACGAATATATAATGCTTCCTTTTCCCTTTTTGAGTGTCATAAGGCAAGTCTAATGACTCAACCTATCGAGGTCTCTATTAAACTGTGTTCACTAACCTTTCCAAAACTGCTAAAGTATTCACGGATTTGGTCTTCCGTTACTTCTGGATCAATACCACCAACAAAAATCTTTTTTAAGGGTTCTCGAGAAGGTTTCGCTTTTTTAGGGTCAATTTTCTTATTCTTTAACCAATGCTCAGGGACACTGAGAACCTACAAAGTTAGACAAACAATAGACAATACTTTTGAGACACAGTCTTCATTTTCCAAAGTAACAAAACCAAACCCTCTTGAATTTCCTGTGAACCTGTCCAGTTTTATGATGCACTGAGTAACTTTTCCCCAACGAGAGAAATATTCCTTTAAATCATCTGAGGAAATAGTGAATAACAAGCATGACACTTTACTTTCATTTGTCTCCCAGCTTAGACCACCGACAAACAGTTTTCTATCGACAGAAAATAAATAATAATAAAAGTACCTGCTATCGTCGTCGTTCTCGTCTGTCACTGAATCATCAGCCCCATTGGTAGGCTTCTCATCACAATCGAGGGGGGAGAGGGGATTTGGGGAATTTTCGATTAATCCATTAGCATTGTCAACCTGATGTTGTCCTTTGGACTCATCAACCATATCAGAAATCTCTACTGATGGCATCAATGGAGATAAGATGGAAACCGCCAACCCCACCACTTTAAACAAATGTACGTTTTCATTCCCCAGTTATCTGGTTTATAAGTCTGTTAACTTGTGTTATTCTCTGCAGTGGGCACCACCATGAGAATTCAATTTCTCTTGTTAAGTATCCCTAGAAGCCCCACTGGATGCAACAGAGCTGACTTCAAACATACTCAATATTTTAAAAGTTTACGGTGACAAATACGCTTGCTTCTGATTGAGGCTTAGTCATAAATAACGGTCTCAGGTCTTCGGCACCGCGCAGTTTGGTTATTTTAACCATTAGGCTCGAATAATTCCTGTGGATAGGGAATCTCATCCCCAATTTACTTGTCAGTTTCTCACCTCATTCGTAAATCCTTCAGAAGAAGCCTGAACCTTGAGAATGGGAGAAGCATAGTTTTAGTTTTTGAGTAATCGTCTATGACACATAATATCATTTCTAATGTTATAATGTGACTATTAAAACGATTTGATTGCGTAGGCTTTTGAAAATAGGATCAGCAACTTGATACCGATGATGTACATGGATTCAATAATAATTAACCACTGTCAGTCTAAGGTTCTTCAGGAAACATGGTTCATCGGATAACCAAAACTTTGTGTGGTTTCCATCCGTTTGATTAACTAAATTAGCTTAAGGTATTCAATCAATGACTTCAGCCACTGAATATCAAGGTATACTAATTGGACTTCTCGTACATGCTTCCAGCCAAGCCGAACAGGTTAGCTCTCCATCCTTTACCCTAATTTTCATAGGAATACACAATTCAGGAGAAACGTCTTAAAGACTCATTATTCGGCTTCTGAAATCTGTCGTTCTCTCTGTCGAAAATCTATTTTAAAACATTGACATTCTGAGAGCGTTACTCAGATTAAATTTCGCATACGTTGACCATAATATCCCGAACACAACTCTAGCAACGCATTTAGGAGGATTCCTGTCAGCGATGAAGAATACATGAATGTTCTTATCGCCCATGATTCATCCCCTGTAGGATAACGCTTTCTAAGAACTTATGTTTAGGGATTTCTTCGTTTACTCACATTTCATTCACCGTCAGAGTTAACGCATTAGTCTGAGCTTTAGAAAGCATGTAAAACCAAAGCTAATGAATGTTCACATGAAACCAACGTAAAATAACTCACTTAAACCTTCGTTAAAGTCAATGAATACGCCATGATGTTGCGTTCCATATTCACCTGCCATCCAACATTATCTCATAAAAAATTTATTCGGCCAAACAAAACCATTCGCTGCTGTCGTTGTTGCAACAACAAGAAGACTTATGCTCCTACTTGACTTACTAAGGCCATCAGAAATACTATTTCCAAAAATCCGATAGCTAACAGTCCGAATGACTCCATTCCTGGGGACGTGACTGGATATTTTTTAAGAACCACATTTCCTAACAAAGGTAAGGTAATGAACTGGTTCACCAACGTATACGGGTAATGACAGTGACACATCCGAACGAAATAACTAACTAGGCCTATTTTAACGACCGTTTTCGCAAATCGGTAAGGCTTATCAGTTTTCAATTTAATAAAATGATTCCGCGACCACTGGCTCATGCATTTAAATGCTCCAAAGCCCTGTCTATATTGTAATTCTGCTACTTGAAACAATTTTCACAATAAATAGAAAACTGTAGTACGTATCAAGTCTTAGGTTTCTCGGCACTGCGGAACTCCTCTTTAGCGTTGAAGCTGTTAAGGCTATTAACCTCCTCCCAAAAAATAAACCCGCCCTGTAGATACGTGGTGATGATGCAAAGCTAATCTGTTTCAACGGACACTGCTAACTGAACGAGCTCGGTTAAGCTTTCACACCATATCGCAACTCGGCTTCCTTGTATGTGCAGTAGAATATAATGTTTCTTCTATCCACAACTTCCCTCTCCTTTGCTTTTATTTCGAGTACATTTTTTAGAGAACGACCGTATTACTAATTTCTGATTTTGCGGCGTCACTGCTTCCTTATAACCAACGAAATGAATGAATCCGTAACAGCCTAAGTTGAGTGGTTACAAATTAGCCAAGAACATCCTCTTAAGATTAGAACAATAATGTCAAGTGCGTTTTCACTTCATTGGTTTGTGTAAGCATTACGTTTCATGTTATAGGGTTTTTAACGTTGAAAAGCCTGTGTCTCCAAACAAGGCCCTCGCGCTCCAACTGTCCTGATCTATGAGTATGTAGTAAAAGCCTACCACAACCATTATAGTTTTGCTCTATCCCTTTACGACTACTGGTAAACTAAGGTTTCTGTGATGTTTGAACGAACTAATGATAATATTGTACTTGTTGAATGCTCGATTTCGAATTCTAAATACAATACATTCGTTTGTGCTTGTGTCGTAGTTCTTGATTCAATTGCGTTAATTCTGGGATTCCTAGTTCATACTACAATTCAAATAATTCGAACATTATACTGGCGTCGCGATGAAGCCTGCAATGGAAAAGTTAGATATTCATTCAACTTCGGACGCTTTCGGAAAGGTTTGAAATCTGGAGTATGACTAAGAAAGATGTTAAAGGTGATAAAATTGTGGCACATTTCCTGACATTCATTGGGAGAGAAGCGTACAGCTCATTAAAAGCTTTGGCATATCCAGAAAAACCTATCTCACTCCCTTATGCAACTCTTAAAGAGCTATTATTGAGTCATGTAAAATGCACCAGTTTTGAATGCCGTGAAAGGGCGAAGTTTCATAAGATGGTTCGTCAAAATGACCAAAATGCTCGGGAATTCATCCTTGAATTGCAGAAACGAGCTGCCAAGTGTAATTTCGGTGACCAACTTCATGTACAACTGAGAGATGGATTAATTGCAGGAATTAACATACCGAGTTTGGAAAGAGAGCTGTTAAGAATACCAAACTGTTCCTTTCAAGATGCTAGAACTGCGTGTATTAACTATGAAGCAGTGAATGAACTTGATATCCAGTCGATGAAGATCTCCAATCCTTTGCTTAGTCGTCATGATGAACTACAATCTCAGGGTCAATCGAACTTGCGTTCATTTAACAGTGATTCCTATTCTCGTGTAAATATGAAAGGTGTTTCAACAAGGAATTACAAAACAAATCACAAAGGTGAGATGAAGTTCGGTAAATGTTTATCACGTGGAAAGTTGCGTTCTGGTAATTCATGTGCATTTCGTAATGCGAAATGTTTTAAATGTGGTAAGATAGGACACATTTAGTCAGTATGCAAAGCTACTGTCCATTTTGCTTCAAGTAGTACTAAATCTTGTAATTTAAATCTCAGTAATTCGGATGTTTCTAGTGATCATTTATCTTTGTTTACTATTTCGAAAGGTAATGCTCATATTCAAAAGCGACTATATACATCGCTTGGTTCATTTCATGACTTTATTCTGGACACAGGCAGTATAGAGTCCATTATTTCATTCAAGAACTTGAAATCTTTAGATCCTAACGTTGTTGTACGACCCACTGAAGTATCAATATTGGGGATTACTGGACACAGACTGCCCATACGAGGATGTTGTGAATTGCTAATAAGAGATGATAATTCTTCATACATACCTTGTGAATTTTTAGTTAGCGAAACAGGACTGTCAATATTGGGTTTAAAGAATTTGAAAAGGCTTAAGGTGGAGTTGTCCTTCTAGTTTCTAAAGAAAATTCTGATACTTTACTTAAAGATTTGATAGCTATGTGTGCTAAGTGCAGTGGAGGTATGAAAATTAAGCCTATAAAACTTCAAGTACAGGGTGATCCAGTCTTTCTTAAAAGACGAATAATTCCTTATGGTCTTCGAGAAGCAGTACATAAGACATTAAACGATTTGTGTGTGAAAGGCATAATTGAACCAATTCAGTCTTCAGCATGGGGTACTCCTATCGTTACGCCACTGAAGTCGGACGGCAAGACCCCTAGAATTTGTGGTGACTATAGATTAACTCTGAACTCCCGTTTGTTGAAGCAAACGTGCACGACGGTAGAAGCTGAAGATATTCTAAATCGACTTCATGGTTCTAAAGTGTTCTCGAAAGTTGACCTAAAAGATGCTTATCTTCAAATTCCTTTAGATGAATCTTCATCTATTTTGACGACAATTAACACTCCTTTTGGTCTGTTCAAATACAATTTCCTTCCATTTGGTCTAAGTTGTTCTCCAGCCATATTTCAGGAAGTTATGAATAAAGTAGTTAGTGATCTTGAAGGTGTTGAAGTTTATCAAGATGATCTCATTGTTCATGGTTCTAATAAGGTAGTTCATGACCAGAGACTTATTGCTTTATTGCGTCGTTTAATTGAGAAGAATGTTACAGTGAATCCAAATAAGTGTTCATTTTGTGTATCTAGTTTTGAATGCCTTGGATACCTAGTTGATGGTAATGGTTTTAGACCAGATATGAAACGACTAGCTCCACTGACTAATGCACCGTCTCCGAAAAATCTTACAGAATTACGTTCACTAGTGGGTGCTCTTCAATACTATTCCCGTTTTATTCCTAATTTTTCTTGTCGTGCAAATTGTTTATTTAATATTTTAACATCCAATTCATTCAAATGGAGTGAGGAACAAGAGTCATGCTTACGAAATCTACTGAAGTTTCTTCAAAGTGATGCTGTTCTTCGAACGTACTCCCCTAATGTACATTCTGTGCTTATTACTGATGCATCACCTGTGGGAATTGGTGCAGTTTTGGAACAGGAAGGTAGACCAGTTATTTGTGTTTCACGCAAACTTACTGTTACTGAACAAGGTTATTCACAGACTCAGCGAGAAGCATTAGCTGTGTTTTGGGCTGTTAAAAGACTTCATAAATATTTATTCGGAAAGAAATTCACTATTGTTACTGATCATGAAGCTTTAAAGTTTATTTATCATCCCGAAAAATCCTTAGCACGTTCCTCAGCTGCTATGGTTCAACGGTGGAGTATTGCTTTGAGTGCATACGACTATACGGTTCAGCACAG